CTAAAGCACCTACTTAGAACAAGCTTAGCAAAGCACAGGGACCGCGGTTCAATCCCCCAGCACCACATGCCAGTCAGCCCCGCCCCCTGGTGGGCTGAGCTGGCCACACACACACACACACACACACACACAAATAAATAAAAATTAAAAAAAAAAAAAGTGAGTTCAAGGCAGCCTGAACTGTATAATGAGACCGTCTCAAAAAGGAAAAAAACAAAACAAACAAACAAAAAAAGCTATTGAACATTATCTAATTTTCTGTCCTGCATCTTTTTTTTTTTTTTTTTTTCTTAATGGTACCAGGGATTGAACTTGCCAGGCTGGTAGTTCTACTGAGCTATCTCCCCAGCCTGGCTGTCCTGCATCTCTCTCTCTTTTTTTCTTTTCTTTTTTTTGGCGGAACCGGGGATTGAACTCGGATCCTTGCGTTTGCCAGTCAAGTGCTTATTCTACTGAGCCATCTCCCCGGCCCCAAGGCAGACCTGAGACTTGAACCTACGACCTCTTGCTGTAGAGCCTAATGCGTAAACCACTACACTATCTCTCCAGCTTGAAACTGGTGATTGAACTCAGGCCCTTGTGCTTGCCAGGCAAGTGCTTATTCTACTGAGCTATCTCCCCGGCTCCTGGTATTTTCTTTATAGGGATAGTCTTCACTGCTGATTTAATACATTTAATGGTTATGAAGCTACCCGGTCGCCCTACTTGAGTAATAGTAAATTATGCTATACTAGGAATTTCTCTTTTGTTTTCAAATGTATTAACATAAATTGTTCATATTCTTTTACTAGATAGCATCTCGCTATGCTGCCCAGACTGGTCCTCAACTTCTGGGCCCAAGTGACCTTCTAGCCTCAGCGTCTCTAGTAGCTGGACCCAAAGTTGAGTGTCACTGCACTGAGCTGCCCACATTCTCTTTCTTTCTTTTCTTCTTCCTTTTGTTTTTTGTGATAGTGTAGATTGAACTCAGCCCTTTTAATTTTGAGACAAGTTTCCTTAAGTTGCCCAGGCTGGGCTTGAACTTCCAATTCTTTGGCCTCAGCCTCCCAACTACTAGGATTAAAGGTATGTGCTACCACATCTAGCTCTGTTCATGTTGTTTAAGAAAACAATGAATTGGGCCAGGGAGATGGCTTGGTAGAATAAGCGCTTGCCTGGCAAGTGCAAGGTCCTGAGTTCAATCCCTGGTGCTGCAAAACAAACAAACCCAATGAAATATAAAGTGAGACCCTGTCTCCCAAAAATAAAATATATGAAGATTTTTTTTTTTTTGTAGAACCAGGGATTGAACTCAGACCCTTGCGCTTGCCAGGGAAGCGCTTATTCCATTGAGCCATCTCCCTGGCCCCATATATGAAGATTAAGTATTCAAAATTGAGTTATAATGATTTTCATGTGAATGAAACTTTATAAAGCCTTAGGTATTACACAAGTACAGTATGAGCATTAGTACATTACATAGTTTTAGTGAGAAAAAGTACAAAGTACATAGAAATCACAGTAGTGCATCAATAAGCCCAAAAGTTACCAAAATTTTAAAATAACTGACAAATCTCTGAAAAATGGGAAAGAATATAAATGTAGACAACTACATGATTTTTATTTTT